TGTTTGCTTGTCACATATTACCAGTCCAGTACCTGCAAATTTCAGAGGAAAATGTCCATCTTGTTAGGCCACTTAACTCTGATGAATAAATCATTCATAGTAATAGTAATAGTAATAGTATTTGTACACAAATATGATCATTCAAAAAACTACTAGCTGAAAGGTTACAGTGGAAGATCAGCTGAAAGGGTGATCAATCTTCTGGTCATTACAAAATGAAATGAGTGGAAAAAGTAGCCAAAGTTTTAAAAACTAATTAAGATTGAAAGACTTTCAGACCTTCTAGGAAAGTACAACAAAAATAACTATGGTAGGTTTAAGTCTTTAGTACAGTAATGTATATTTAGAGTAAAGTCTGTCATTATATGAATTAATCCAAAGTGACAAATAAGAAGCACCTCTAACTTTGGTAGAGGAGACGCTGCAGCCCGTACATGGAGAGCCGAATGTATTTATACGACAAAGTCAACAAAGTCAAGGCAGGTTGAGCATCGTCAGATGAGAACGTGTTCTCTGAAGAGATTAACTGTTTATAAAAAGGAAATTCTCAATAACTCTGAATCTTTGTTCCACGCTGACGGAATAAGCACTACTTTCCGTTGTTTTCCGATGGGCCTCCAGCTTTGTCCATCATTTCCTTTCTGGGAGCCCCGGGGGATCTGGATTATGTTTTGCCAATCTTAACAACCGCAAATTAAGCAAAACAACTTTAGACAGCTCCGAGCTGATAATACAATGTCACGGCTCGGTTCAAAAACAGTAGAAGGCAGCACCTTTCTCCTCTTTGTTTGTGTGGGAACACGTAAACACAAACAGCTCCGGGATTTAATTTGGGACGAAGAAAAGGCTCCACATGAACGTCCCCACAAGGACCAAAATGCAAGAAAGACTGAAAAAATATGAAATATTGGTAAGCATAAATACTAGTAAACGGAACAAATTTAAGTAAAACTTCTTTTAGTAATCTTAGCTGTGGCAGCCATCTTGTAGACGTACGTCCAACGATTACTCTCTAAAAGTCTCATTAAAATCCATTCAATGATTCATGAGTTATTTTGCTAACGGTACAAACAAGCCCATGCACACACACAAACCTTAATCACCCTTTTTCAACTTTGACGGCGAGCGACAATAAAAATGGAAATAATTCAGCTGTAGCTACAAGTCATCGGCACTTTGGAAGGGCTCCAGCGGCAGCGCAACATTCAGACACAAACTAGGCTCAGAACCACAGAAAGGACACGGTGGAGCTGTGGAACTGAGCCCAAAGCTTCTGTTTCAGTCTCATTCTGCTCGGCTGCTCCTCTGCCGCCACATTACTGAGCCTCGATTTATTACGCCGCCGTCCAGACACAACAAGGACGCTTATTGTCCAACACCGACTCTCTTCTTCTGAGGAAGAGTAGGAGTTGTTTGGAGCTTGTGAGTCTGGCTCCTCGGTCGCTCCAGAGCGGTGACCCTCTAATGGTTAGGGTCTAATGGGAGGGGGACAGTCTCATTGGCCTGGCCTGATGAGCTGATAGTAGAGGAAGTGAGCTGAATCCTTATCAAGGATTGGCGCTAAAGTCCAACAAATAGGCTGACTCTCCTCAGATAAAAGGTTGCATATTTTTGGCACCAACACAACAACAGCTTGTTTGACCACGTGTGGATGAGATCAAACAGAGCGGCTCCGCAGCTTCAGCAGGATGGAGAGAAAAGAAAGCATCCAAAGCTCTTTTCTGAACATATTCCACTTGTTTGGTCTCTTCATCGCCAGGCACCGAAGTCAATGTTTCTTTATTTGTCATTCCACCACATGCGGTACATGTGGTACATGTGGTGGAATGAAATTGTGTACACAGGGCCCTAGTTACATCCAAACAAAAGTATAAAATGTAAAAGAACAACAGTAATAAGATATAAGATATGAACTAAGAAATGCGCTAAGCACTAATAGTACAAAAACAATACGCCGAACCAGAGCAGCACAACAGCAGAGTCCAGAGGCAATAAGCTTTTTACCAGTTTCTGTTGTCTGTCTGTAGCGTTAGTAAAATATCTTGTGAACCAGTGGAACAGATTTTAATGAAACCTTCAGAAAGAAATCAGTGGTGTCATGCTTTTGCAGTAAACCCAATTCAAGATGGCTTCCACGACCAACTAACTTTGGAAAACACAAAAATGGCTACAACAAAGTTTTACATATATTTGGCTACAATTTGGTGTGGTAGTGGCTGAGATTCATCCCCAACAAATACTCCATATACAGTATCTATATACTTTTATCTATACGGTCAACGTAACCTGTATGCTAGCAAAAACCTCATGAACTACGGAGTGGATGCTTATAAAACTTTCAGAAAGTAGGCAGTGAATGTTCATCTATAACTTCTGAAGTCAATCTAATTCAAGGTGGCCGCCAAATCTAATTGACATTACTCAGCACATAAAGGGCTAGAACTCAGTTAGTTGTACAGCTACTGAGCTAAAACCTGGTGTGGTAGTAGCTGGGTCTCATCCTCATTATATAACTCAAAAATTAACAGATCAAGCAAGATTTCATAGTTTTGCATGAGATACACAAAATTGAGCTTTGTTATACAATATTTCACTTACAAGATTTGACTAAAATGTCTTTAACTCTTCCCCTTCTTATCTAAAGATGATCTTGGTTTAACCCTCTGGTATGAACAGCAATGGGCGATAAGCACTTCTTCAAAAAAAATAAAAAACTAAGTCTGTAACTACATGATGATTTTATTTCATGTTGGTTGAGTCGTGACGGCCGCAAACGAAAGACATTAAAAAATGCCGAAACGGTTCTTTGTGTTATCTATACACAACGGAATGAGACCACGTTATTGATTGTGGTATAAGAATCAAGACAATGAATGGAAGTGTTGATGGGCACTTTCTATCGGAGGCGAGTGACCTCAGGAGGCCACAGAGGGTCAACTACAGGAAGCGGACTAAATAAGAGTGGCAAGAATTCGAGGAGATGGCAGACAATAGCTTGAAGTGAAAAGCCAGGGAGGGATTATAGGGGCGGGTGGGAGGGGGGTTCATGTGGACCGTGGCAAACGGGGACAAGGAAAGGTGAAGACGTAAAGAAAAGTCAGAAGGTCAGAAGAGGAGGGAAGTGAGGCCTAGAAAGAGGAAGGGCTGTGCGGGAGAATAAATATACACAACTTGTCAGCATAAAGAGAACTCGTATAAGTCCTACATTTTAAAAAGTAAACACTTATTGACACGTCAAACTTTCTTTCAATAACAGTCTCCCCCAGCCAATGTAAAATAAAGAATCTGCACTCTGAGACTGAGATGTCTCACTACAGCCTGCATCTGGCTCCACTGGCGTCACAAGCATTTGTAATGTAGGGGGGACACACTGGTGGGTGGGGGGATCCTCCCCCAGAAATTTTTGAAAAATAGATGCCATTTTCTGCCTTCTGGTGTATTTTAATGGGTTGTTAAACATCTAGGTTTATCTACTTGATTCAATTGCTATTTTAGAGAACTGTCGGCACTAACGTAGCGCTAAGCTAGCGGCATGCAATACAGACATGCTAGCTAAGATGCTACAGATGCTCCGCTTCTCTCATGCACCCCCCCCACCACCACCACTGCCTGCACTAATGTAGAGCTAAGCTAGCGCAACACAGAGGTGTCTCCCCCTCCTCCCCCATCAAGTGATCTAGGAGACACACTGCATGCAGTGTAGTGAGTCATTGAAGGTAACCAGGAAAACCAGGAGTGGACTTTTAGTGGGGGTTTTTTTTCATTCAACCTTTATTTAAACAGATAAATCACATTGAGCCTAAAAGACTCATTTACAAGTGAGACCTGTTTGGACAGACAATAAAGTGGTAAAATGGACACATGTAGGATTTGGAGGCGAAAAAATTCCTATCAGAATTTTTTTTTCCTGCCTTAGAAAAAAAACTCTAATATTAAAAAAAACACTTCGCACAAACAAGCACATAGTGGCATAGACATTCTGCAGAGGGGGGAGCCGAGAGCGGTGAGCATGTTCATAGATGCTCTCGGGGTCACTGTAAGAGTTCTGATAAGGATGGAATCATCAGCCAATGTCCTCCGGTGAGATCCATAAACATTCTCGAGGTATGTTGAGGAATGTGTTCTCCTATGAATTAAGTGGAATGGATTCAATCGCAAACAAATAAACAGCACCAGGTGAAATAATATTTCATGGTAAATGTGTGTGTGGGGGGGGGGGGTCCAAACAATTTTATTTATGTATTATTTTTTTTATGTGAGGGGGACATGTCCTCTTCACATATATGTAATTGATGCAACACCTATGTCTGGCTCAGAGGTGTGTTTCTGAGGGAGCAGCAGAGCTGAGCTGTTCTGAGCTGTTCTGAGCTGTTCGGGCGGCACCGGGCCACTTCATCTGAGCTGGGACAGTGACAGAGAGCAGACTGGGGGCTGCCTCAGTCCCCCCCCCCCTCCACCCCACCTCTCTGAGCCTGGGTGTTCCCAGCTAAAAATACCTGCAGCAAACTGTTCCACACAGCACAACTTCATATAGAGCAGAGTCAATGTGTCTCCTTACACAAAGTTCCTTACAAATAAAAACATCTAGTGTGCAACTCTTTGTTCGTGTTCGTGCACTGTAGGGTCTCTGGTCCTTCATGCATGAACTGCTGACTGCAAAGTGCAGGAGGATTAAAATCCTATGGGAAAAATAACCCAGCAGAAACTAAGCTCGTGTCAGTAAAATGAGGCATCAAAAGCTCGTAAAAGGCAACTGAAATCCTAAAAATGTAAATAAATGAATAAAGAGCACGTGTTACTATTTTAAGGCAACTTAACAAAGTTAGTTTAGTTGCTGCAGCTTCTCCACAGTGAGCTCCTCCGAGGATAAACAGATGATCAAAATTAAGATTAAATTAGGCTTAACTTGATTACAGGTCATGCTCTATGACATAGTTCTGTTCGAAACTTTGCAAAGCCAGCTCTGTATCTTTTCTAAGCCTGCGCACATCTGGACTCACCTCTCCAGGTGTGAAAGAGGAGCAGGAGCCCGGCCAGCAGAGAGGAGGTGGTCCGTGCAGTCATGGTCGTGAGTCGGTGCAGAAGATGTCCGAGCTGGGGTGTGTTCAGACAGAGTCTGGTCCTCTTCTGATTGAACACACACGGAGAGAGACACGCTCAGGGAGAGGAAGCGGGGGAGCAGCGCGAGGAGGCAGATGATGCGGAGGGAGGAGGCAAAGAGACAGGCAGTGCTCCTCCGCTGCATAAAGTAAACACCCTCCGCTGCGTTCAGCTTCTAAAACTCGCTTTATTTCTGTTTGTGTCTATACATTTCCTTATAATTTTTTCCTACAGCTCAAACATTTCTCATGTATATACATTGAACTCACTGAATCTCCAGCTTTAAGTTGCAGTAAATTAGGGGAGTTGGATGTTTCTTGCAGTGGACAAAAAGGAGGAGGAACTTTGCTCCAGGAGGAGGGAGGAGGTCTGCAGAGAAAGGCATCATGCCACAAAGTTGAAGGCACGTTTCGGTTGTAGCTGAGGCGTTTCTTCTGAAGTGCTTCAGATTTCTTACATTTTAGCAGCTGCTGCTGGGTTCCCCCCTGACTGGTAATGGATGGGTGGGACAACCGAGCTGTTCTGCTTGCTGCACTATCAGATCAGATCAGTTATAGTTAATTGATCAAATCAAAGCTGCTGATATCAGGGGAGTGGTGGGTGTGACGCTCCAGATGGAGATCACCATCTTACTGCCAATCACGAAGATGAAAACAACAAGTTGGTAGCCCCAAAAGAAGCAGGGGTTCTAGATGTGAATTCTGAACAAGTTTACTGTTGCATGCATGCATGTCCTATCAGAGCTGGGGGGGTGGAGAAGGCTCGGGGGGGACATGCAGCGGATAGCCCAGGGAGCCATTCAAGTTAGAACCACCACTGAGGCCAGAAGGTACCATTAAAAGAAATTATCTGCAGCAGAAATTATACTTTTCTTTCAGTCCAAATTAAAGCAAATCTCTGCAAATTTAGCTCTAATTCATTCATTCTTATATTTTATGGCGTGGGTGGATTCTGGTCCATTTTGGTTCACCTGAAAATGTTTTTGGTGTGAAATAGATTTTACACATCTGGTAATTTTCATCTAAAAAAAAAAAATCTATATTTACAACCTCATCCCCGCATATTATGCAGCAGCACACAGGTTTTGACTTTGACAAGTCGTTTATCACAATTAAGAGAAAAGCCAAGGAGGATAATGCTTTAATGCTAAAGGAAACAGAAGAAAGAAAATTAAATCAATTAAACTTTATTTATGTAACCTCTTTCCATTGCGTAGATTAAAGTGCACCACAGAAAAGAAGTTGACGACATTAAAAGTTTTATTAAAATCTGTGACAACTCAGGGATTTGTACAAATCCAGTTAATGTTTAAAATGCAGAGTTATTGAAAACAAGCAGTCGGATAAAAAGTCGTGTATAAGTTGACAGGAAGGAGACAGTTCCTGTGAAAAGGTTAAAACTCAGTCTCTCAGTAAACATGTTTAAAATTATTCAAGATGAGTTTTATCACAAATAAAATTTAAAATCTACTTTTAAAAAAGGAAACTGTGTCTGCCTCTCAAACAAATGTCAGAAGTTGATTCCAGCAGGTCTTCCTGTAACACCTGCTATACTAAAGGAACCACGAGTAAACCTGCATTCTAGGATTCATTCTCTATTGTATCGGTCTCAGAAATCTTTAAAATATAATGGTCTGGTTAATTTGAGCTTCATTAGTTAGAAAAAAAAACCTTATTCTTGAGTTTCACAGGGAGCCAATGGAGAAGTTGGGCTCTCTTGCTGGTTCACATCAGCTTTCTCAGTGCAGCTTTTTAAACCAGCTGAAGATTTTCCTGAGAACCTTGGAGGATCAAGTTAGTTATTTTTTTAAATAACAGCAATCAAAACTAATTTATGGGAAAAAGTGCTTTTCAAAGAAAGTTCCCACACATCACTGCTTGTGTAAAGTTCACGTTTGTTTAAATCAGAATTGATATTTCTGAAAGTGAGTTTGATAAAATTAGAGTAATTGCATCCACAAGATCACCCATCAGATATTAATTCCTTGTTTAAATTTGAAGTTTTATATCTGATATACCACTTTAAACTGAAGCTGAGGGTGTACAGTAGACACACACACAAACACGGAGGAGGAGTTTCCAGAAACATTAGGTCACATTCAGATGGGCTTCCATTTTTAGCTGAGGAGATCAGTTTAGGACTGAATGGAGCTGCAGCCTGCTCTGTTTTAGTATCAATCATGTATGGGATCGATTGGATTCAAGTCACTAAACCTTTTTTAGACTGATTCAGCTTGTCATGATGCAATAGTTCTACAAACTATGAGTGTTTTGACAGTCTGTGCTGACTGGTAAAAAGCTCCAACGTTTCAATCCATACATCCATCCACACATGGCGCCACCTGCTAGATCCAATCTTATAACAAACCAAATAAAAACACGTTCCCTGCCCGAGCACACCACGTGATTCACACGATGTTGACTTCGGCTGCAGAACTTCAGTCTCTGATGGGAAAATCCATTTACGTGTCAGGGTTTGGATATCTGCTGCATTTGCCAAAGTGTAACAGAGCTGCTACGTACTGGTGAGATGTTGCTATAAACGTACAGTACCAGAGGACAGCTGGGAGGAGATGCAAGTTGTAGTCAACCTTTTAAAATAAATACTTGGCTGAGTTTATTATAAGCACTAAAAATTATTTCCCTATTCAGACTGATCAGATTGTGGAAAAAACAGGAGAAAATACAACAAATAAAAAATCTTTGAGCTTATTCAGCAGGTTGTAAATTAGCTTGAGTGGACCAACTTTATAGATAGAACAAATCAGAATCAACTTTATTGTCATTGCACAGTTAAGCACAGTGAAAATACCTGTACATTTCAGTGCAGCCGTCCAAAGACAACAATTGTAGACGGGGGTGCATGGGGGCTGCAGCTTCATTGTGAAGCGCTGCCCTTATCGTTTAAATAAGAACAGGGAAGAGAAACATGAGGAAAGACGGTATTTAAAAAAGGTCTCTCACAAAAAGGTAGCAAAAAAACTACCTCAACTTGCAACATACAAGACATTTTGCGGGGGGAGGGCGGCCAACAAAGGTGGTGAGATTGTCCGTGAACACTGCCAGAAAGTTCCATAGTTCTGATAAAGATGGCACAGTGTTTATCAGCCGGCTCAGCTCTGATAAGGGTCCACAGATGTTCTCGGGGGGGGGGGGGGGGGGGGGGGGGGGGGGGCAGGAGCAGAGCTTCATGATTTACATATCCTCCAAGAGCAATTTGAGATAAGTTGGCCCAAGGCCAAGCGGGGAAGCCATAGTCAGACAAACAACAATTGTTTTGGGGCTGGCCAACTACTGATTTCATGTCTGCCTTCATCGTTCTGCTGGTACACTCAATGGTGAATCCAAACATCCAGATTTGTGGTCATTCCACCGATCCGTGCTTGTAGCCTTCTCCAAGGTCGATTCCTTCATGCCAGCGAGTTTCAGGCTCAGTGTCAGCATCTGAGTCTGAGCGCTTGAAGCACGGTACAGTCCTTCACATAGGCAGGCAGCCTCACCATTGCCAAAATTGCTGCATACGTCTTCCTAATTTGTCAATATCCCAGGTACCCACCGATTCAAAAAAGCAGATAATCCTGTTGTCGTATTCCAATTATTTATGCGTCGTGTGTCCCTTTAGGGCATGAGGGTTCTCCTGCACCCTGTCTTCTCGTCGAATAAATTTTATCAATTGTGTTGAGAGGCCAGCTGATCAGATCCATGATTTACGATTCGGAGGATGTGTAAAGAGAGGCTCTGAGAAAGATTCACAGGACAAGAGCAAAAGCAGGAGCGAGGCAGGAGAGGGAAAAATAAATTGTCCGTCTTTGTCGAGAGCAAGTCGGAAAAAACAAAGATAAAACATTAGTATATTTTACATATTTGTATGATCCGTGCTCAGATTAAGTGTTAGGGATGACTCTCAGGTACTACCATACCATGCTTGAGCTCAGCATCTGTAAAAGGGACCAAGTTTTAGCCATGTTTGTGTTGGATAAGAGTTATTAGCTGTGGTAGCCATTTTTTGATTTAACCTCTAAAGTTACTCAGATGACTCGGAGAAATTCATAAAAATCCATCCAGCGGTTCATGAGAAATTTTGCTAACAAACAGAATAAGGCTGCAGCTTTAAACAGAGAGCTCATGGGAGTTGTTAGAGCTTTGTTTATGTGTTGGGAATCACTCTCAGCTACTACCACACAAAACTGTAGCTCGGTATCTGTAAAAAATCAAATGAGCTACTGTATAATCATTTTTGGTTTAATAAAGTTGCTTAGCTGTGACAGAAATCTTGAACCTGGTTGACTCTGAACATTAATAAGTTGTAGATGTACATTCAATAATGACTTTATGAGTGTTTCATAAAACATCAGCTTCCTGGTTCTTTAGACATTTTGCTTACAGACACATATGCTCACAGGCGACGTAATCATTTCTTCCTTCTCATGGAGGTGAGAGACAAAAAGACCTAAATGATTACAAGAATTATCGGTGGGTTGTTTCTTTTTTTAGTTCAGCCTTTGTTTTGATTCTGGGACCGACACATCCTTCAGACACTGAACTATCAGAGCAGGTGTTTAATCTCTGCATTATGTGATCCCGTGTGACCTCTGTCAGCCTTGACAGATCAAAGAGCAGAGAGAAGAGTCAGGAACGCTGGTCTCTGTAACCTTCAGTGCTGGAAACGTTGCTGGGTCTGATATTTGTGGTTCCTGCCAAGTGTCTGACAGCATTTCAGAGTTCCTGTGATGGCCTGTAGGTGATGATACTGGACTCTGCACCCAGAGCCACCACAGAATGAAAATCATGAGGATACTGACGGTCCTCAGGAGACGGGTCAGGTTTATCAGTTTAGTTAAAGGCTTTTCTGCACAGAAGTCTTTTATACGTTTGATAGAAAAGTGACAATTTTATTCATTGGGTCTATTTAGCCATTTGTGAAAATAAAATATCCAGGCATCTGTCAGTCCATCCATCCGTCCATTATCGTCCACTTGGTCTGGAGTTGGGTCACGAGTGTAAAAGCTTGA